TTTACAGTTTTCACAAAACAAAATGACGCACATACATACAAAACAAACATTTCTCGAAGTAAACCGATGTTCGAAATGGATTTTTTGGGAGCTATCCTCCAAAATTTGAGTTTCTTTTTAATTATTATCTCAAGAACCATAACACAAAAATATGGAACGCAGAGGTGCACAAAAATGATCTCAACAAAGTTTGGTATTAGTTTTTAAAAACGAAAATACATTCCCTTGAATTTTTGTCGAAATTGGGGTGTAATCGACAAAATTCGAGACGTTTTGGAATCTACGAAGCTACATTAATAGGAAAAAGTGTTTTCCCGATCATTTTTGGGGTAGTCGATTTTCGGTGAAAATGCAAAGTCTTGCCTATATTTTGAATCGGAAAAATGAGTTGTCAGAAATCGACCGGGAAAAAACATTTTCTTATAGATTTTGACATGTAGAATCCATAACTTCAAACAAAGTTACAGCCCCGTCAATTTCTTCTTGAAATTGGTTTTTTGCCTATAAATAAGAATCGTTGATAGGTTTCATCATTGTATTTATACAAAATAAGTTTACGGAGTCGGGAAAAAACTTATCGGACCTAATCTCATTTATTTAGCGGAACACCCTGTATATTTTAATGTAAAAGATAGCTTATTAATTATTCTTTTCAAAAATATGACACGCCATGAGTGATACCGGTTCCTATCTATTTTTTACCATATTTTCCTCAAAGTGAAAAATCGCTATTGGCTGCATTTTGTTGTTCGTCTGTCCGTCCGTCACACATACTGAGCGATATGGGTCTCATTTGGAAGGGCTTAATGCAAGGATTCCGTGCGTACAGTTATTTTTGTTTTGCGCATGCGGAGTCTCAAAAATTTGGTTTAACGTATGTGTAATGCTAACTTTTTTCATTTATGAAGACATTTAAATGAAATTTGATTAGATGCACTGTTACTTTTGGTTAGAAGAAGATAGAAAAAAACTGAAAAATCACCACGTTAGTATAACACGCTCGAGGATGGCGCCCAGATGCCCCACATCATGTAGCTCCGTCCCTAAAGTTGTTAATTACATGGACCCGGTGGGTTGTCTTTCTACAAGCGTTCTTCTACGAGGCAGCATTTGCTGTCAGCCAGCCAGCCAGTCGGCCAAGCACTCTCAACAGATTGCTCAAAAGGTCACTTACGTCCCTGCTCACGCACGCTACACCTGCTTCTTTGACTGCACCAAGAAGAGTGTATGCTTTTTTCGTTTTTAACTATTTATTGCCTTTTTTTATGTTTTTATGATCGATATGAAATTTATATTGTTTTTTTTTCCTAATCCTGATACCGGATTCACGGGTTTGCCGCTTCCGGAACCTCACCTTATGAAGCAAGTTATGGTTAATACAATTTGTTGTTTAATCATAATAAAGACCTTTGATTATTCAATTGAATGAACACATTGTTTATGCCTTAAAGAAAATCGTAGAACAGTTCTGTTGCCGAAAACGGAATTCCAAAATTACGATTATTAATGCGAATAATCTTCAAGAGTATACGACGTATACCCTCATACAAGGATTATTTAAATAGCTCGTTTCATTCAGTTTTGTACGACTTGTATTTACCTATGTGTGCCAGAAATTGACTCACACTTTATTATTTTAGGTAGATTGTCTTGGTTTTTACTGATTTGTAAGTCTAGACCAAATTTGAGTTAATTTCACTGATCAGTTTCTGAATAGTAAATTTTGAGTATATTTAATAAATTCAATTTTGGAATGTATGTAATGGGTGTGAATATTTTCATTTAAACATAATGCGACGTGACAGACGTAAACTAATATCAATTTGAAATCCACTGTATATAATGTATATTAGGTTTTGTAAACGTAGATAGTATAATTTGTTGTAAGTTTAAATTTAGAATAGAGGGAATGTACTTTGGTCGGAGACAAAGGGTAAATTTTAATCAATGCGATTGAAGTCGTCGTGAAGGTCGCATGCTAATCGCAGGTTTTTAACGCGCACTACCACAAACTTGCAAAATAGTGCCTAAAACGATTGTCGTTTAGGACAATAGTACCCAGTCAAAGTGTAAAGCAAAACAAGTGCATATTCGTGTAAAAATATCGGGATGGAAAGTGAAATAGCAGTAACGTGCAGTTTTTAAAAAGGGTTCACGAACTAGTCAATCTGAAAAGACCAACGGCTAAAGCACGCGTTTTGTACATCGCTTTCAAATTGTTTAATCGCTAGATTTGTTTTCAAAACTAAGGAGCAGTGACGTTTTAAATACAAATCGAGTGCTGTACTTCATTTATTCGAGGAAACTGAACTGCAGAGGAGGGTGACAAAATTCAAACAACCAGAAGGTGGCCATCTACGACGAGCCTCAGAAAAAAATTCCAAGGTTCGACATCGACCGAATCAAGTTCAACAAACTCATGCTGAATCAAGAGACTTCATTCATAAGGTAAAAGACAATATTCCTTTATACTAATTAAATCCAACAGCGTACGTAACTTTAAAAAACTCGGCGGTCGATTTTGTTGTGAAGAATTAATGACAAAGTTCTTTAACTTTTGACTAGTAGCCCAATCTTGGTAACTGGTTGAAATTATGGATTCTACAGGCCACATTCCATAAGTACAATTTTTTCCGGGTCGATCTGAGACAAATTTTTTGCAGGCCTCAAAAAAGGGCAGTGTATAACCTTCCTTTTTTACCAAAAATCGACTACACCAAAATTTCTCGGGAAAACACTTTTTCTTATTAATTTTGGTGCGTAGAATCCAAAACAATTCGTGCTTTTTCGATCAGACTTCTCAATCAAAAGTTATAGACTAGAAACCAATTTCGAAAGAAAATTCAAAGGGCTGTAACTTTTGAACTGGTAGCCCAATCTTGGAACTGTTTGAAATTATGGATTCTACAGGCCACATTCTATAAGAAATTTTTTTTCCCGGGTCGATCTGAGTTATTTATGAAGTACGAATTTAACCCGGTGACTGAAGTGCTAAAGTATTTTCAAAAATTTAGAATTGTTTAGATAGTTTAGGTTTAGGTTTCTTTTTAGGTTCATCGTAACTGTAATTATTTGCTTTATTTGTGTGTTTAGTTAAAATTCAGATCTTTTGCAATCGTAATTATTACAAACACTAATCCTTACTCACATGGAACAAAAAGGTTCTGAAATTCAAACGTACACCGAATTATGAAAATTGTGTAATTCCTCCAGGCATATTAGAGTATCAATTTCTGTAGTAATATCTTGCCCAACTTTTGATTATTATTTGTTGAAATTAACCAAGGATCTGTGAAGATCAAAACTGACTTAATTATTCCTTATTACATACCCATTATTTACCCATACTTTACACCGACATCGAGAAACGAAGGATAAGAAGAATATACACGGCGAATCATCGATAATTTGTAACCGCCCGTTACATGTAAGTAAGACAGACATTATAATACCCTTCATTTTCCTTATCAACCGAAAAATATGGACCCTTTGTATAGGAGATGCCCTATATCAAAATGATATATTTGCGCAAAATTAAACGAAGCTAAAATTTGATATTTTTAATGATCAGTGTAAGCTTTGATTTAACGGAATCATTAACAAACAAACGCTATCTTCACAAAAAAAACAAATACATTTGACACATGGCATACTTATAATGCAACATTAAAAAAACCCTAAAGTAAATCTAAAAAAGCGCCAGAGGGATTATTGGATTTGATCCATTTTCAATAGGCGTGTTGTATGCGGTTTGAACCAAATCGCCCCACGCGTTTGGAAATTATCGTGTTCACGGACAGACGGACACCATCGATCGTAAGGAAATCGGATTTTTAGATTGTTTCAGATTTTGATTTTACGTACTCGAATCTGGATTGTTCTGTTGTTGTCGACAATGACAACAGTAATTTGCTTGTCATACTCAAGATCGACATTAATCTCAATTACCAACGAGGCCTATAATAAATAATTGACCATGCCTTTGTGCTACTTCAAACATGGTTAATGAGAATCTCTCAACCTTTTCGGTAACGTTTGAGTGAATGGTTTATTCATTTTTCTTAAACAAAAGCAAGCAGTTTGTTTATTTCAAGTAAAATTTCTTGTATTAAACGTACTTCCGCAGCTGCACGCACATATCGTGATGAATAAGAAGAAAGTGGAATAACTAACATGTGAAATTGCAATTTCTTGGCATTCATTTACCATATAAGTTTGATTAAATGCGAAAATAACGTAACAGGAAGCATACGCGATATCAATTCCACAATTTTAAATTCGGATGAAATGCAATTTTTTGTAGATCAAATAAAGTTCAAGACTAATGTACGCAAGGAAAATAATTTCATCAATATCCATAATCTAAGTCAAGGAGAACCTCATTTTAATACCAAACTTTAATTATGGCATGAACATGACCCGGTCCGACTTATTGCAACTCAAAATTCAAGATTATTCTCTATTATTCTAAGCTAAATCCAGTTTACGTGCTTTAATAATGATTATATGACAAACTAATGGGAATAGATTTACGAAAATTCGTTATTGATTTTTTTTTAATCAACCAAATGCATTATGCCATAAACCGAACAATTTCGACATTTTTAAAAAGTGTGTGCCAAGGTGTTTGGTGAAGGAATTAAAGTGACGAATCTGTATACATTAACATAGTATCATAAATTTAAGCATCATTATGGACCGATTAGAAATACGCTTATTTACTATATACTTATTAAGTATGTAAAAAGATGGTTAGTAGAGAATATCTTTTCGGAATAATCTAAGGGCTCTCTAACAATTTGCGTGTTTTTCTTCTTTTACAGGATAGAAGTTACTGTTTGGGGATGTTCTTTTCGATTTTATAGGTATCATCCACCCAATATTTGGTGCCTTGAGGGTTTAGGTAGTTTATTGTAATTATTACTATCGTGAATCTGAAATCTAACTAATAAATCAAGCTAAGCACCCCTAACTTATAAGTAATTACTCCTAGTACTCACCTACTGAATACACCAGAAATATGTAAAACAATCTCATATTGAATGAATCGATTTAATTTTTCACTCTCACTAGTTTGGTATCATAAAAGCTAAACGCAAAGCAGTCATCGTCGCCACTGCATTTGCTCAACTGCACTATCATTTGAGTTAATTAGATACTATTGGTCCAAAAGAGTTAAGTAATATTTAAGGTGATGGTCAACAACTAAAGTTCCATCAAAAGAATTACATTATGGCATTGCCTAAGTGTATTCAACCGGTTCATAGCGCATATTACAAAGAAAAAAGACCAACGAGCGCGGTTTGCGAGTGTTTTTGTAGTACAATTACTTGTTACGCGTTTAGTCGAAAGTAACAACAATAATATTTTATGGTGAAATTGAAACCGTCCGATGCGGGAGGTCGTGCACTTTTCCCTTTCTCTGGAATTCAGTCTGATTTGTTCGTAGGAAAAAATGCGCATTGAAAAAATTGTACCGTGCCGGTAATTGTTATTTGGCTAATGATGCCTTCCAGACTAATGCGCCGACACAATGCGATTTTTCACATAGAAATGCGTCGGTGAAATTTCGTGTTATTAATTAGGTATATACGTTACTTATCGATCATCACATGGAAACGAATTAAACATTACACAATAAGGCAATTAAACGTTAATAGGGTGAAAGCACAATTATTGAAATGACAAAAATGGAAATGCTTGTTAAATACCAAACATCGTAATATCTATTTTATAGTACTGGGATAATGAGACCGTTAAAAAAGAAAGAGGCCTGAAACTACAAATTAGTGCCTAATCAATAAATTGCGTCCATACGTATCGCGTTAGAATATAGTTAATTGAATTATTTGATATAGTTAGTTTACCACTAAATGATGACATTCGGAAAATGGTGCGGATAACTTGCTGTTTATTAAAGAACCTTTGCACGGGATAAGCTTCAAAGGACTCCATAAGAAGGATGAGGATTTGCAGCTAGGTCTGGGGTTTTTCGTTCTGAAAATTTATTATACAGCGATGTTTCTACACTAATACCCGTTTGCACCGACAACTTTAAGCGTAGCTTAAAATCCATGGCAACGATTATTGAGACAATGGTTGTCATGGATTTTAAGCTACACTTAAGCTAAGCCCCGCTTAAATTTGTCGGTGCAAACGGCCATTAAACCTATAACAATATTGAATATCATTTGACTGAAATACGCCTAATTTTGTTTAATGATAATATAATTAACGCCTTCATTTATATTTTAAATATATTTTACTACTATGTACTAGATTTTAAAACAGACAAAAAGTACAGTTGAACTTATACATTTGATAGCATCATTAAGTAGAAATAAAAAATGGAAATATTTTAAAAAGGAATGCTAAAAATGAAATTTTGCCATGCTCTTCCAAAGATCATTATCTAATATTATTTGGACATAAATTTCAAAAAAAGATATTATAACTTTTGATTGAGAAGTCTGATCGAAAAAGTACGAATTGTTTTGGATTCTACGCCCCAAAATTAATAAGAAAAAGTGTTTTCTCGAGAAATTTTGGTGTAGTCGTTTTTTGGAAATAAGGAAGGTTGTATACTGCCTTTTTTTGAACCCCGAGAAAAAAATTGCCCCAGATCGACCGGGAAAAAAATTTTTCTTATAGAATGTGCCCTGTAGAATCCATAATTTCAAACAGTTCGAAGATTGGGCTAGTAGTTCAAAAGTTACAGCCCTTTGAATTTTTTTTTTCGAAATTGGGTTCTAGTCTATAACTTTTGATTGAGAAGTGTAATGGAAAAAGTACGAATTGTTTTGGACTCTACGCCCCAAAATTAATAAGAAAAAGTGTTTTCTCGAGAAATTTTAGTGTAGTCGATTTTTGGTAAAAAAGGAAGGTTATACACTGCCTTTTCTTGAGCCCCGAAAAAAAATTGTTTCAGATCGACATTTTCTTATAGAATGTACCCTGTAGAATCCATAATTTCAAACAGTTCCAAGATTGGGCTACTAGTTCAAAAGTTACAGCCCTTTGAATTTTCTTTCGAAATTTGTTTCTAGTCTATAACTTTTGATTGAGAAGTCTAATCGAAAAAGTACGAATTGTTTTGGATTCTACGCCCCAAAATTAATAAGAAAAAGTGTTTTCTCGAGAAATTTTGGTGTAGTCGTTTTTTGGAAATAAGGAAGGTTGTATATGCCTTTTTTTGAACCCCGAGAAAAAAATTGCCCCAGATCGACCGGGAAAAAAATTTTTCTTATAGAATGTGCCCTGTAGAATCCATAATTTCAAACAGTTCGAAGATTGGGCTACTAGTTCAAAAGGTACAGCCCTTTGAATTTTCTTTCGAAATTGGTTTCTAGTCTATATTACGTTAGATCTTTATGAAAACCTATTTATCATGAATCTATCTAGGCATCCTTTTAAGAATTTTCCGCTTCCCAAATCATGAAAATGTTTTTGAAATCTTCTTAGAACGAACCCTGAAGAATCTCTGTCTCTCAGAATCATCGAAATTATCACATTACCCATAAGGGAAAATAATAATAATAATAATAATAATTAAAGCCATTAATAGCTATGTTGGTAAGTATGAATTACATACTATCTCTAGATTTCCAATGTGAGTGTGTGAATATTTATTTTATTTTTTATTTTTCTTTAGAACCCTACATAACTTCACCAGACACAGACACTAATCGTTACTTGATTTTAATCCGTGCGATTAGTTAACCAGGCTAGACCTGAGTTCTCACAAGAAACACCGACAATAATAATAATAATAATAATAAGATCTTTATTCTTGAAACTGTGCATCACAGCCATTGAAACGTCATACAGAGTGAAAAAATAACAAACTTTACGTGCAGGTACAAACAACATTGAGTACCCCCTGTGGGCTCGGGGGTAGAATTGACCCACTCCCGCCCTGGAGGTCGTAGAAGGCGACCAATGGGACAGGAGGCGGCTAGTCCAACCGTGTCCTGAAATACCCTTAATCTGTTCCAATTCCTATAACTCCATCCTATAAACCTACCTTGATTATCCTGTCTATTAATCCCGAAATCCTAAGGTGGAGTGTGCCGAGAGGATGAATGGCTCTGCGTTAGTGAGTCGCTAGCACTCACGCAAGGGGAGTTTTCCGAAACTTACGTGCTTGGCGAGCATGCGGACTCTAGCTGGTTCCCTCACCTAAAAGGCGTGTGGTCCCTGCGACAAAGGGACATAAATGGCGATGTCGGTACAACTCTATTTGGACACTGTATCCCAGGTGGGTAGAGACGCAGTCTCACAATCCCACACCAGTTCGCTGGTCAGCCCCGAGGATTCTGGGAGGGGCATCCAGACATCGCCAATTTTGACCACGTTGGGCAGTCGTGGTGAAACAGCCCTTTCAGCAGGTGGCGGCGTTGCGCCTGCTGTGGACCGGCGACAGCGACCAGATAATGCTACCAATAAGAAGGAGGAGGATACGCCCCGGTTCTTGGTAGTTAGAAGGAAGGAAGGTGACTTTACAACTGTAAGTCCCTTCCTCATAAGTAAAGTATTATACGGAATAGTAGGAAATGTCAAAGATGTTAAAAAGGTGAAGGGAGAGCTATTGGTCGAGACGGTCTCAAATAAACAGTCGCGACAACTGATTAAATGTACGCGTTTCAGTGAATTCGAGGTTGAGGTAACACCTCATGGAATCCTTAATACGTCAAAAGGAGTAGTATTTTGTCGTGATTTGTTGAATTGCTCCATTGAGGAGATAAAGGACAATTTAAAAAGTCAAGGTGTGATAGAAGTAAGGCGAATTAGGACACGGAGGGAGGGAATATTTGTAGACACTGCCAACCATGTACTTACCTTTAACACCCCGAGGTTACCACGGACAATCCAAGCAGCGTTTTACCCCCTACAGGTGCGTCCATATATTCCAAACCCCCTTAGATGTTTTAACTGCCAAAGATTTGGACATTCTGCAGTAAACTGTAAATACGAAAGGAGGTGTGTATGTGGGAAACCTGCACATGAGGGCACTGCTTGTGAAGAACCAATTGAATGCCCGAATTGCAAAGGGCCGCATAAGGCGGTCACTAAAACATGTCCGGTTTTCAAATTAGGAATGAAAATCCAAGAAGTCAAAGTAGTGCAGAGACTGTCTTACCCAGAAGCTAAAAAGAAAGTGGGCACTCCAACAGCTCCCACTTCCTCCTATGCACAGGTGGCGTCCAGACCGGTTACGGCTCCCGAACCTGTTAAAAATATTGGCCCTGAAATAAGAGCAATTATTAAAGAAGAAATGGGATCGCTCATGCAAATTCTTACCGCTAAAATTGAACAATATCCTCGAGCTGTCTTCGGAAAGCCTGCAACTAAGCCGGTGACGAGAAATTCCAATCTAGTGATTGAATCAACTTGTACTTCCGAAGCAGATATGGAGACCGAAACACGAGGAGCAAAGCGGAAAACATCGCTGCCTCGAGTTCGGTCCAGAGAGTCGAGTATTACATCTCTAGATGAGGAGACGGTGGCAGAAGCTAAGCAGGGAAAGAAAAAGAAGGGATGGCCCAAAGGCAAGCCGAGACTGCCCCGTTCATCGGCGGACAGTTCGAAAGGGGCTTGCA